AAATGAGTGGGGGGCTGCCTGCTCCACTCTGTGCCTGGTCTTCAGGAGTGAAGCAGAGGGAGCAGTGGGGCAAAGTCCCAAACCCATTCCCTAATCTGGGCAGTGTCCAGTTTGGAGAAAGGGCAGGGAGGGCAAAGGAGCAATAAGTCAGGGAAGGGAGAGAAGCAGTGGGGCAAAGCCTCCTACCTGCTCCTCAGACCAGGGACCAGGCCTGAGGAGTGGGCAGGGAGCAAAGTGAGGTAGCTCCTCTGTTCAGCTCCCATGGAGCCAAGTGGGGCACTCCCACCTCCTATCCCACCCAGTCCTCAGAGCAGTTAGGGAGCATTGCCCCAGTCCCCTCCTAGACTTGTCTGGGAAGGGACTAGAGCAGTGAAGCACTGCCCACTCCCCCCAGTCCTCTGACTGGGCAGACCCTGGCCTGGGGAAGTGTGGGCAGCATTGCCCCAAAGCTTCACTCCCTTCCTGGACCAGATCAGGATGGAGCATACTTTTGTGCCAGCGTGAACATTTGTTTCTCTCACTTAGTGGTCACCTGGAGGATCTTTCACTCAAAACAGTCATGCTTCCAACCCAAGAGAAACTGAATGAATGTTTGTATGCCCATAGCTTCTGCCAGGAGTACAGTGGTTCTCCTCCCAGCAGAAACATATTGCCTGTACATGGCCTTTGAAACGGAGGAGACAGAGGATATTATACATTAGGAAGTGAAAATACATGAAACAGTATATGAGAGGTTTTCATTCATGAGTTATGACAAGACTGTTCAACAAATATGATGGGCAAGATTCTGGTTAGAAGTGTCCAGGAGAGTGCCTGGCGCACCAGAGTCATTGTGTGGGGTGACCCAAGAAGTATTAGAACTAGGAAGGGAGAAATATTAAAAAAAAACAAGTCTTGAAGTGTATAATACCCAAATTCTATCTGTTAATACCATTTTTTATTCAAGAAGGATTATTTAGAAACACTTGTGTGTGTTAAGATGTAAAATATGTTTGATGTGCAAGGAACTGCTTGTGCTTTCTTACTGAACAAACAGAAACATGTTCTAATATATTCAGATCTTAATTTGGCACAACAAGATATTTCTTACCCAATCTTATTTCTGGGTAAGATTCATTTTAATTATCCAATAAAGAGAGAGGAAATATTTTTATCAATAGGAAAATTACATTCTTGCTGGACATCAGATGTCAGACTGCCACACCTTTCAAACACCAATTAATAAATCCAAATCTGTATGTCAGATGGTAATATTACCCTTCCAGTTGCTAGATGCCTGAAAGGAAACATTATCCTATTAGCACCATAGACTTTTTAAAGATTTTTAAATTGAAATAAGACAATAGAAAGATAGAATCGGATATAATTGAGAGAAGCAATTTGATATTTTTATTTGAATACTGGCACTATTTACACTGAATGAAAATTATTATTTATGCTCTTTTGGAAGGAAAAGACTAGGATGTGCTAATTACATAAAGCAGTAACAATCCCATACATGTTATTTTTAATTAGGTATGGGAAGGTGCTGTGTGTTTCTTATATGTATGCTGGAAGGACATTCTTTTGTCACTTTTTCCATTATGAATATTTAATATATGCAGTGGCATTTGAAATTTTTTTTGTTCTCCCTCAAATCCATGCTTCTGTTTAATTGACTCTACTTGGTTTTGAGAATATTTGATAAATTTCCATCAAAATCATGTTTATTAAATTCACCTGACCTTTTTCACGCAAAGATTGAGGTTTTGATGGATCTGTAAAAATTGATCCCTTCCTTTATTACTTTGTAATAATTATTATATGTGATAAAAGGTAATCACATAAGGTGGTATCACTGTATGTCCTCTTAACTGGTTTCCTGTTCACACTTTGGGGTTTTTATATCAGTGTTATTCTCTCTCAGATGCTCTCTCTCAAAAAGAAAATATACAATCAAAACTTATTTTTGTACTTATTATTATAAAAATACATTTCAAATATTAAGGTTGAAATGACAAGCTTTCAAATGACAGAATTCAAGTTACCCATGTAATTTTATATTACGCCCTCCCTACATGCATATGTACTATAAGAGTCTTGTCAAGCATCTCAAATACATTTGCAGCAGCCACAAAGAAAGCTGACTCATCTGCATCCTAGCCTTTAACAGCAGAGAATTTTCTCCTTTCTTCAGCCTTCTGCCTCCTCCTGTCTCGACTGAACAATGAATGAGGCAGGAGTACTATGGAACATCATAGTATACGCTCAAATAATTCAGGATAAGCAACAACAAGCAAATCCAAATAAAGTTGCCTGGGCAAATTTAATTCTATTGCCTCTTAATTTTGGAGCTCTTGTTAACATTAAACAAGGTTTCTCATACCCCTTTTCTAATTCACTATTTTTACATCATTTTGTTCAGTTTTTAGAACACTGGAAGAACTAGAAATAACATTACAGTGCGTGCCCTGCCCCACCTCCCCAGCCCTATTTCAGTGTAGATTATCAACAGGATTTTTACCCCGAACCTGTAGCGCTACAATATCAATCTGACAGTAGTAGTAGATTTTTATCTTCTGTTTCATCCAGCCATTTAGGGTATATAGCACACACTTTGCCAGTGGCTTACCTGACAAGCAGAAAAATACTATGAGTGTTTGGAATCAGGATTTCTACCTTTGAGGGCATGTGCACTCCAATAATTTCAAGCAGCACAGGCAATGCTATAGTCAAAGCCAAATGTCAACACAGTGTGACTAAGTGGATGTGATTTAGATCTGTCACATTAGAGGTACGCTCTTATTCCTAGGTCTTCCAGAGATAGTCCTTTACAACCTTTCAGTTTTGCCATCTGTAAAATGGAAGAATGTTACTCCTAAATTGGTAATATGAGGCGCTGGGCAATAATAAAGGCTATGAAGTACACTGAATCATTTAAGTATTCAGTTAAGCATCTAAGATTAGAACTCAAGGTTTCCTCTTGATTCTCAGCTTAATGTACCCTCATGTGGGACAAAGGGTATTTTGCTGCTGCATGCTATCAGAGATATATATGAATATGTTATATGGGCATGTGTGAGAGAATGCTAATATAAAAGCATGTATAACTAGTTAAACAGAACTGGTGAAATAACTAAAATAAGAGAAAGGATGCCCTTGCTATTAAGGCATTGGACTGTGGCTTAGGATACCTGGTTTCCTCTCTTACCACAGGCTTCATATTGACCTTGGATGAGGTCTTTCTCATACTTCCTTTCTATTGTCCTTTCTGTGTCATGTCTATTTACACTAATACCTCTTTCCAGGAGGGACTTCTTATTGTTCTCCCATTCTTTTAGAAGAGTCAATTCTACTCTCTAGTGCAGGCCCTAGTCATCACTGTAACAACCACCGGGTGGAGTCATCACTTATAAGGAAAATTTAAAAGTGCTAAACGGAGCTAAATACACAGATAGCCCAATTCCCACATGCAAAAAGTCTTCTTTACCACACTTCAAGGACATACAGGGAAAGGGGTAGGGCTTAGAATAAGCATAAAGTTAGTTTTCCACCTTGAAGACCCATTTACAGAGCTGTGCCATGTGGCCTTTGTGTAAATGTGAACTAGGCAAACTTGATAAATGCCTGATGGGCAACTTTTTACAACTGTAAAACAGTTTTCAGGGAAGCAATGAAGACCCAGTAGTTTTGAATATTTTTATATATATATATATATATAT